TTTGTGGTTTACAAAATGAAAAAAAGAGAGAAATTAAGGCGTCAGTGGTTTACCGATGTTGAGACACCGACACATCGTACTGTTTAACCAATTCGTGATGGTTACAATAAACTGATGTAATATTGATTATCTGTAAGGAGCATACCTATGTTAATGTAATTCGTATAGTAAGAAAATGCACCAGCGAAAATTATTAACTGAGATACATGTTTGTGAACGCCCTTGGGAGACAGGGTATGCTAATGCTGAGAAATGCAAATTGGAAAATTGTAAAGTTAAAAACATCACGTTTGCCAAAGATTCGTTTTTTTATTTCCCCCAACTATGGCAATAGCGAGATATAAATCGGTAGTTTCCTTAATTTGAAGCTCACTGGGATAAACACTTATTTCAATGTGGGTTATTAATTGACAGAACATCATCTCCATAAAGAAAAACAATTAGAAAAACGTGATCAATCGGCATTGTATAAACAAATGATACGATCAACAGTATATGAAAATACGCGTTTTCATGTTATTGTCTATGCATTCGACTTCGATCTTAATTAACTAAGATTGCAAGGTTTTCTGCAGGAGGTCAGTGTTTCTCTCCGAGCACTTCGGTTTCCTCCAGTTTATAAACACTGGCCAACACGATAAAGCAAATAGTGCCGAAGAAGGGGAAACACGAACAATTGATCAATATATATATAAATATATATATAATTCGTCTAAGCAACAGCCCAACAATGTTTGCGGAAACAAATTTTTTGTTCTTCTTTTGGCCGGGATTCGAACTCATGCTACTGAGATATCGTGGCACTAAATCGCCTTGCACTATGCCTGACGCGCTAGACCACTCGGGCACCTAGGCTCTATAATAATAAAGCTTTCGGTGGCCGGGTGTTACCTTTCCTCGTCAGTTTTTATCTAGCGTCGTAACACAGTACATGATATATAAGGCATGAAGATGGAACTGTTACAGATCAGCTGAATTATCTATTGTAAAGGATATATATATATATATATATATATACAAAGATCACTATAATCAATGTTCTTGTGTATAGAAATATATATAGATTACTAATAAATCCAACATTTCCGGTATGAATAGTTTTATTTCACAAGTACTTTCATGTTTTTACATAACAATCTTCAGGTGAAACTTTACATGATTAACGTAACTATGTAACGGTAGGTATGTAACGTCATAGTTGTCGTTGAGTATATAAAGGGAGATAACTCGTATTACACTTAGTCTATATATAGAAGTACGGAACGTCATGATCTCACAATAGAAAATGCATATTTTGCATTCAATCGTGATTTGAATTTTGAAATAAAATATTTTTCCTTTACTTCCCGTGTAATGTCACATCCCATATTCATTTTATTAAATGGGAATATTTTAAAAAATACCCCGTCACATTCGTCTTAATGTTTGCTAAGGGTTTTTTTTCTGTATTCTGGCTGTGTATATGCTGTCTATGAATTCGCACTCTTTCGGTAACACTGTTCCCTGTTTGGCCGATATAAATTTCCTGGCAACCATTACATTTGATACAATAAAATTAAATTCTCGGATTTACAAGTAATGTCCACGTTGGTAAAAAGTGATTGTCCATTTGGTATGTCCATTTCCTTGCCGACATGGATATACGGACATGCTCCACAACGACTATCTCGGCATTTTGACATGTTCCTTTTTGGTCGAATCTTGCTCGGGTCAATAGTCGTTTAAGGTTTTGTGGTTGCCGTTTACTTTGCAGAAGTGTTTCTGAATTTATCTCCCTGGTTCGGTGGTATGCCGTAAATACTACACGGACGTTCGTAAGGATGAAGTTTTAAATTCATCTACATTCAAGTCCGTGGTCCACAGAGAGTCATATAATAAACAAACATATCATAACCACATAACAGCTTAAGGCCTCTTCTGAACATTTGAAGGTCCCTACTATGTATTGGTTACCTAACCTAGTACACAAAAAACTAGTAAAATATCGTTTCATCTCGGCCTCTAGTAAGTGTTCTACAACTAATCTTACAGTGCTTTTTACTAGTTCCAGAGACCTTATCATAAACTTTTGTAATAAGATATATGAACATAGTGGAATTAAATATTTTTGGAGTGTTAAAATCTTTAGAATTCTTTTAAATAAATTACGTGCTTTTGATGGTTCTTTTGATTCTGTTGAGAGTTTTGACTTTTTAAATCTTTTCACTACACTTTCACACAATCTTATGAAACAAAAGTTTGCCTATTTAATTAAATGGTAGTTTGGTCAATCTGAATGCAAATATATTTGCTGCAACTCATTTAAAGCCTTCTTCTCTAATGAGAAAGGTAAATATGCTAGATATGCTTACTGTAGATTTTATGAGATGAGTAAAGCTGTTAATGTTCTCCTTGATGATATGTATGTACGTTTCGGCAACAAGGTTGTAGTTATTCCTATGGTATCTAATTGCGCCCCTTTAAAAGCAGACTTGTTTTTGTGCTGTTATGAATCACAGGTCATGTCCAAACTCAGTAAAGATCCGTCTAAATTACATTTAATTGATAAATACAACAATACTTACCGTTATCTTTATGATATTTTTTCGTTAAATAATCAAAAGATTTCTAACTATACTGCCGAAGTTTATCAAAAGGAACTTACTTAAGATAAATTAAATGTAAACGGTAATAACTGTCCTTTCCTAGATTTAGATATTTCAGTTTTACACCGGGAACTCAACACAAAAATTTACGACAAAAGGGACGATCTTTCGTTCCCTATTGCTAATTTTCCTTTTTTGGATGGTGATGTTCCTTTGGCACCATCTTACGGTGTTTATATTTCACAACTCGTTCGCTATGCCCGTGTGTGTTGCGACGTTTTAGATTTTAATGAACGTTATCTATGTATTACTGGTAAATTATTAAGTCAGGGATTTCGTTACCACAAAGTACTTTAAACCTTTACTAAATTCTTCCATAGATAGAAATATTTGGTTTTGAAGTTAGGTTGTACCTGTAGAAAACTTATTTCAAATGGGATAGCACATCCTCATTTTTACGGAGATGTTGTTTACCGTGCCCGGACATTTTGAAACGATCCTGGTAAACTTATCGATCCTTTAAATAAACATATTCTAAAATGTTATCAATTCAACACTGTAATTAGATCTTTGAATATTGTTTTTAATGGTATGAATATTGATTTTGTTATCAGTAAATTAAAAGCAAACTAAATATTATTATACACACATGCACATTCATGGATCTACAATCTATCGATACCTGTATCTTGGCATTGCACAAGGTCATGTTTTCTCTGACTGTTTATGACGTCTTTACACTAAATCCATTGCATGTTGGATGTGTACTGATTGATACTGTAGTCTTAGATGCATGATTTTTTTATTAGTTGTTATTGGCTTTGAATTAGCTGTCGAGTACTTTCGGATCTGTACTTAGTGTCTTTTTGTTGTTGGGATGTACAAGTACCCGGCCACGTCCCCTCTGTGTTTTTGTTAGATGTATTTCTATTTGTATCGATCTGATGGGTTAAGCCTTTTTCAACTGACTTTTATAGTTCGTTCTTATGTTATACTGTTGCACCACTGTCCTAGGTTAGGGGGAGGGTTGTGATCCTACTAACATGTTTAACCCCCCCCCCCCCCCCACATTCTGTATGTATGTGCCTGTCCCAAATCAGGAGCCTGTAATTCAGTGGTTGTCGTTTGTTGCTGTGTTACATATTTGTTTTTCGTTCATTTATTTTTGTACATTAATAAGGCCGTTAGTTTTCTCGTTTGAATTGTTTTACATTTTTAATTTCGGGGCCTTTTATAGCTGACTATGCGGTATGGGCTTTGCTCATTGTTGAAGGCCGTACGGTAACCTATAGTTGTTAATTTTTGTGTCATTTGGTTTCTTGTGAAGAGTTGTTTCATTGTCAATCATACTACATCTTCTTTTATATATATAAAGAACAATATCATATGCAGCTGATAAGAATACACGATGTTTTGTACAAGACACGCTTATTTGACTTTACTCGCGTTAATCACAATGAAACAAGAAGACATGTTGCCCTTCTGGGACTAAATATTCTGACCCGGTGCTAGCCATTACTTGCAGGTTTAATCCACCATTTTCTACATATTAAGAAAATGCCTGTTTTCGAATCTCAAGATTTAACTTTTTTTTAGTTCAAATCCCCAGTACATTATCTCATCATAGTTACCAGAAACAAAGTTGTGTACGCCAGATTTTTTAGTGACACTCGTATCAAAACAGATAAAATGGCCAAATAATGTACATAATAAAGGCATTATAGTTCTTATACAATAAAACAAATGTTGCTAAATGTTAAATAATAACATACGATACCATAACCCTGACGTATGTTAATTAAACCATACTATGAGAGTATTCTTTAAAATAATGTGAGTCATCTTTGTCCTTACTACTTTATTCGATAGTTAATTCAATGCTACGAACTCAAAAGCTCTGGTGAAACTTAAAAAAAGGGGTTGATTTATAAATGCATTTAAAGTTTAATTATTTTTACGATCTAGCTTTGCGATTTAAGTCCTAATTATTGTTTCAATATCCCTTAAATTACTAGTCTTATTAACTATAAATCTGAAAAAAATGCGATATTTGTTTTTATTTTTCCGAACATTTTACATGATACATATTGCCAAAAATATAAGCCCTATAGATATCTTTTTTGATTATTTGTCCCGTATAATATATAACACTCATCTCTACTCATATATTAATAAATTAATGTAAACACAATTTAATGTAGTTGTAGTAACAGCTAGAAAAGTATCATTTCAATATTGATTCGTTTGAATAATTATCATAAGTTTGAAAAAAATGGAATATAAGTGAGGTAGAGTAACATAAAAGAAATGATATATGGCAGAAATAATGTGGTTTTCGCATGTAACGATAAAACGCTGTAGAATAGGTTTAATTACAATACTCATCTTATTGAAAAAAGACATTAAAACTATAGAAACAGTGATGAAACATTTACTAAATTTTATCATCGGTACAAGAACATCATTCGTAAATATAAATGAACATGCAGACATCTTAGACGTTCAGGTATTTCAAATCCAATCTTTTATGTTGCTATATTCTATACAAAGCACAAAAATGTCGGCATTCATCTCAAAAGCTAACCAAACATTCAAACAGACTCATTAGACTTAATTAGAAGGGATAGAGTTACGATATTGTGTTAGATCATTAAATATGGCATGTTTTTGGTATTGATATTGATTCACTAATTGGGTCTTTGCATCGGAAATAAACACATTTATTCTAAAACCAGTTGTTGGCATGATACGGGTTATGTTCTTCTCATATATGTTATGATCGTATGATACTAAACTCCTAACGGGAGGGATGGTGTTTAATTTTCATATGATGAAGACATAATCTTTCAATCAGTTTAATTAAGGTTTGGAGCTGGCATGTCAGTAACTGCTAGTAGTCCTTTGTTAATTTATGTATCATTATTATTTTGCGTAGTTTCTTTTGTTACCTATTCTGACACAACGATATACACAACGCGAATATTCAAGATCTAGATTCAGCAAACAAACTATTCGAGAGAAAAGGACTTGTATTAGACCACTTTGCAAAACGTTGGTCTAACGAATGTATTAATGGGATTACGTAAATATCATCGACAAACATAGTTAATGTAGATCAATAAGAAAGTGAATCTTATGGAGATTATGAATAATAGAAGACGTTATCAAAGGTGGTGAACTTATTCGTGCAGCATAAGTACGGACTTCTATAGACCTAGTTACCACACGACCAATTGTGAAGTTATATCCCTTGAAACTATAGTTATTGGTGGAAACAAGACTGTTAACTGATTTTAGTGAAGGACATTTAACGTAATATGATATTTTACATAAACTTTCAATGTGATCTATTTTTAGAACTCAAATTGTGTTATCATTTTAAAATTAATTTATTTTTTTTTTGCATTTTGATGCCCCCATAATATTGTTATATTTAGAACGTAATGCTGTGTAATTATTTCCCGGACATTCGCGCACACGATTGTTATGTAAAGTAACGCTATTGTTACGTATCGACGAATCTTTAGAATCATCAAGCATCTCAACTAGCAAGACGTTGTTTTCTTTACACAAGACTAACAAATTAATAACCATCATGATACCTCTTTTTTTTTCTTTATAAATTTGTTTTAACGCTAAAAAAATGCAATCAATAAATTATGTTGATTTGTTTACTCATCGCGTAGCTTTGATACATTTTCGTCCTTTGGATTGTTATTTTTTTAATTACATCTCTTTGATAATAAGTATATCAACATATCATTCATCAAACTTTCATTTATACCCAAATACATTGACAATCAGTAAATCAGAATCGAGCCTTCAAATGCACGTATGATTGTGCGTTTCCATTGCAAGCTAGAAGAATGCTAAAACCCCAAAGTTCTTCTTAGATCAGGCAAAACTAAGAAATATATGTATTCTTTATCCTGATATTTATCTCAGGTCTTTCAGTTTATATTTTTTAGTAGGATAAACCATAGAGTACGAAGGAAAAATGCCTGTAAATCATTCATAAATAAGACATGTAATTTTACTGTTTACCATCTTAAACAATTGATCTACTGTTGATCTAATAATGGTGTTAGTATTTTGTTTTTCAAATTAATTCCTTTTGATTAATAGTTATCCGTTTGTTCTTCCGCTGCAAAGTGCCGCAAATCTTCTGATTTCTTCTGACGTACCCGTACCCATTTCACGACGCAAAAAATAAGAATCGAAAGAATTAGAAATCCGGAAAAAATACAAACTCCAAATCCTATAATACTTTTTGCATCTTTGTGATTTCCATCTTCTGTGCCTGCAAGAAAGAAATAATTTCAATATAAAACATTAACACATGGAAAACATTTTAAGAATTTCAATTTTTATGTATTCATGTTTTAGCATCAGTAAAACATTAGCAAGGGGATCACATTTCTCGCTTTTCAAAAAAGGCAACGCACACATTCCACGGATAAAATATGCAAATACTAATTTGTTTCTGTAAATTTAAGCTGCAAGGAATCAAAAGAAATTTCAATGGAATAGTATTCAATCGTAAATTCATTCCTGAAACACGGATAATAAATTTGGCTGTTTAAGGAAAGATAAAGAAGAAACATCTAACCTCTAAAAATACAGGAATAATATTTTTCTCTCAGTGTAGTAAGACGGGTGCCACATGTGGTTTAGGATTTGCTTACACTTCAAGAATACCTGATATCACACCATGTGTTAGGCGATTTTCTTTTGCTCTGTCTTTAGTTTTCTATTTCTATGTTGTGTTTTTATGCTGTTGTTTGTCATCTGGCCTTTTTTGTTTTCTTTTTTTTCCCCATTGCGTTGTCAGTTTATTTTCGACTTGTATACTTCGTAAAACACCATGTACAAATGGAATATTGAGCCTTTATAAACATGTTCTTAAAGGATATCAAATAAACACCGTAGATGTTGTGTCACATGATGTCCAGGGGTACATGCACAGTCGTTGTAAACTTGTCCATTAGTCATATCATGCAATTCAACCATACACTGATACCAGCAATAAGTAGGGCGTATGCCGTTAAGGATTTCTTCACAGGCATAACGGTAATTCGTTTTCGACATAGCATATGAATCTGTTAGGCATGTTGGTGTAATACCACCAAATCATAATACTTCACATTCAGTTAAATACGACAAAACGTCGACAAATATATTCCTTTCAATTTGACAGTTGTGCGAAATTAATCCTACATTTCCTTGCAGTAAAAAGATATTTTTGAGTCATCAACATATATTTTGGTTGTTTCAAAGCAACATTATTTTTTATTTGGTGTTTCTATAGAATATTATGGAAACTTGACGTTACATTGTTACTAAAGCTTGTAAACGAGAAAAAAGGGCTAAAAATTTGATTGTTAAACTGTCAGTGATTTTTATTTTCTTATATGTAATGGAATAGTATGTGAAATTATGTCTATAGTACTGGACAGGATAAAACTTTACTTTTGCCAAGTATTTTTTTATTTGAAACAAAGATAATTTCTGCACATTTTTTTGTTAAGTGCAAATTTAACAAAGACTTATAAGGGAAAATCAATAGTGGTATTACACCTGTCGCATACTGTAGTTTATCGTACTTGTCCAACAGTACACATTCGTAAAATCCGCTTGGTCCATAATCAGGATTGCAGTGCCGAGTACCCTTATTAAAGTTATTAAACCTAATATAAAAATTGCTATGCCCAACAATTTAAGACAAGGGGTACTGTGAAGAATTCCTAGGGGGGGGGAGAAATAATCAGGATTTAAACGTATCCCCGATTATAAAACCTGATAAGATGATATGTTGAGAACATATTTTTTTAGAAGTGGGTTAAATGTACTTGACATCGTTTTATCTTTTTATGTTTGGTGTAATGATATGCTACAAAGGACGTGTTAACATCAAACTTTGTGTAATATAAATATGTTTACACTTAGCTTCTTGTTACATGTCTAATGAACACTGTTTTCACATTCCATCTAATATTTTAACTTCCTGTGTGTATTGGGATTGTGCACACCAATGAATTACCATGTTAAAATAGTTTGAATGTATTTGAAATGGCATGTTCTCTATCAAGTTGGGTGCCAATATGCATCGATCGTTTATTTTTTGTTTAAAAGGGAGGGTATATGATAATTTGTGTTGATTCAACATTTCTGGACAAAATTTGTGTTTTGAATGCACTCGAAGTTCTTTGAGATTGTTAAGGATGTCACGATCACGTAATACGAAAGCACTGGCTAAAGCAGTAAAACATTTGGCGAAAAGGGATAAAATGTTCAGGTTATTTTATTATCGCGGAATTACTGCATTTTGTACATGAATATAATCCAAATTTGACCTTTTCCTGCAATGATATGATAAATAGTTTCTGCACATGGTCTTGTTGTATTTAATTTATTAAGGCCTCATTTCGTGGGTACCTCCAATTAATTCGGGAAGACGTTTTTGATTGACTTATGTGTAAAATGATTTCTTTAAGTAAAAATTTGGGTTACATGGAATAGTGTTTTAACGTTTAATAATACGTGAGTCATATTTTGTGTTTTGGAAAAATAAATCGGTTCATGACTAAATTCATAATAGACGGTTTTAGAAAAGTCAACACTACTGCTGGCGCTCGTGTTGGATGGAAGATGAATACAATATGATGTGGGGACCATCTCAATAAGTACAAATACTAAGATTTTTGTAACTTGTATGGGCGTGTTTGATTCCGCTGAGATACATCGTAAACAATTGTATTCATTAAAGTACGCAGGAAAAGATCAAATTTTTTTTCAAGAACCAGAAAAGGTTCAATAAATGTTTTTTTAGATAAATTAATGTTAGTCTTGTGAACAATTAATCTTCTTTGAACAGCTTGTAAAAATAAGGTAAAAGGGTGTGGTCGTATATATTAAATAGCATAAAGGGACACACACACACACAAAATCTGTGATCTCGGATTGATAATCAGTGACCTCGGATTGGCAATCCGTGATCTCAAATTGCTTAACTGTGAACTCGGATTGATAATCCTTGAAATCGGATTTTTTATCTGCGATCTCAGATTGACAATCTGTGATCTCAGATTGATAATCCGTTATCTAAGATTGATAATCCTGAACTGAATAACTATATCAATGGAATCACTTTTTTATTAGATAAAACTCACATTTACTGAAAGCTAACTCAGAGTCATCAACAACTAATAAATAATTCAATGACCCTTATACAAACGGAAGCCGTTGTTATTTACTTTGAGTTAGCTTTCAGTAACTGCAAGTACTCTAATATTGGTACTTTGTGTCTTTTGTCTTGTTAGTTTTGTTTTAACGCTTTCTGCAAAAATAATGAGTCATGCCATTTTCAACCGATTTTTATAATATTTACTTATGTTGCACTGTTACACCACTGTCCTAGGTTAAGAGGAGGGTTGAACGCTCATGAATATATTTAACCCCAAATTATTCTGTATGAACCTGTCACACACCAGCAGCCTCTTATCCGGTGATTGACTTTAAATTTAATTTGATTGCACACACTGGTAGTAAACACAGCAAATAAATAAATAAAAATAAGTAAACAGAAAATGTCAGAAAACAAATTTTAGAAACACAAAATAACCCACCCCCAGTTCATCTGTTATAAGACTAGAAAAGGTGTCCACGATTTTTGTTTCTATGTATCATAATCAAACTTCTTTGGAAAGATAATATAAGCTTTTCTAATAATTTAGATTTTTAGAAATAAATAGTTTGAACGACATTGAAAGAAAGATAAAAACAAACTTTGCTTCAGTTGACATTTGACAAACTTAGCTTCAGTTGACATTGATTCCCGTAGCTACAATCATATACCCTATCACGGGCTTTCATTAATGTTATTCAATCGACCCTTCGAGCCCCATTGGAATCATGTAAATAACATTTGTCTGCATTTCCGATTCCAATGGGTTTTATCCTCTCGCACTAAAAAGTTCGAGGGGATCTTGTAACTAAACTCTCTGTTCGTCTCTCCGTTCGTAACACAATTGTTGACACTCTATATGCAACATCGTTCCAGGATTTTGACATTATTTGGTTCATACTTAGTCCTTATGTGTATCTAGAATCCTATTAATTCTCAAAGACAAATGTCAAGTTGGTATTTATTTGATATCCTTGTTAACACTCTAGACTCGTCATAGTTTGTCATATTTTGACTTAACTTGGCATATACTTAACCATTATGAAAATCCATAGATCAATTCATTTTCAAGTTCATAAGTCAAAGGTCAATTTTCCACTTATTGTTACACAATATGATAGACATCAATTAAGACGGTAAACGCCGAGGGAAAAACGAAATGTAAAAAAAATAAATAAAAGAAATTGTGTGTGTCGACGCAATAAGACGTTTAGAGACAGTCATAGTCGTTTGGAAATTTATGGCGACAGCAAAGGAACGAACTAAAACAAACAGTTGAATTGTGTGCTGGACTTTTCGGGAGACATTAAACAAATTCTAACCAATCATGCAATGCTATGTTATTAGGCAAGTGAACAACAAAATCCTAAATTTGCATTTTAAAATAAGTTTTTTTTTTATTCTATTATTTTTTTTTAAATCGTACCAGAGTAAAAGCAAAATGATAGTTTGTTTCCATTGGGAGATCAGTTGAGCGGGAAAAAACCATTGTTCCTTTATTTTTTGCAAGAATTTGTTGATTCTGAGAATAAAATAAAATCATCCCCCCTTTTTCCTCAAACGGTAAAGATTTGCCATATTGTTTTAATATATTTTGCATTCTTAAATCAAAAAATTACAATAACATGTACGGTTATTATTATCTTCAATTTACAAATGTACTATGTAATTGATTTTAAAATTCACATTCAATGATTAATTTTGGTTCTTTAACAATGCTCGATTAATCATGTCTTGCACACTACAATTAACATATTTCAGTGGCCATTCATGTAATAAAAAACGATAGAGTATTTATAATTTTGGAGATGACCCCATATCATATTGTATCCATCCTCCATCCAACACGAGCGCCAACAGTAATATCGACTTTTCTAACACGTCCAATAGTAATATACTTTTTGGTATTCAATAAGACTATTTTTCCGTGGATATGCATAATAGAATTCTAGTTCTTCTGAATACCTAGTTTCTTGTGCACTTAACCCATACAAGACATATGTTAAAGGTGCAATCAAACACAGTATGCCAGTTGTTCCTATAAAAACGTACATATCACTCTCTAGAAAAAGATATAACAAGTAAATGCGTCGGCAATTTAAATTTATGAAACAAAATTTAACCGATAATTCAGTAAACCGTATCGCTACCTTGATAATATGTTTTGCTTTCAATAATCATGAACTTTTCGATTATATTGCAGAAATTTACCAAAAGGACATAACTAATGATAGATATAATATTTACAGCAATATTGTTCATACATAGATTTTAATATATCAGTTTCACTTTGGATACTAGAAAATAAACAAATCCTGTTAGAAAAGACCGGTGTTTGTACTCGTACTTAGGAAATGACGTTCCTTCGGACCCTCCCCACTCTGTGTATATTTCAGTGAACGTTATCTATTTGGAACTTGTACACTGTTAAGTTAAAAATATCGTTAACTTATTACTTAAAACTGTTACTATTTTTTCATAGATACAAAGATTTATTACGACAGTTTGGTTGTACCTGTTTAATTCTTATTACAAACCGGAAATTGAGCAATAGATAAATTTATTCGTAAACAATATCAATTTGAAACCGTAATAAGATCTTAGAATATCGGTGTTCCCACTGTCTGTATTACTCTGCTCAGCTCTTTATAGAATTGCATATCACAGCTTTGTAATGTCAAATATGTTGACCCGGACCATCATATATTGACCCAAACATATCACCGACGTCAAAATGAATGACTTACAAGTATCACGTCATCTTCCGGTTTACTGATGAAACAAAGAAAAAACCTTGTTTCTGTCATTCATATACACAAATACAATTCAAAAAATCGATGATCAGATTTTCATCATATTGATATTGTAAAACGAACAACTTTAAAGTTTGAAAACAAAGTATACCCTGGAAGTTTGATGGTAAGAAAATATGGCTGGCTGGACTTTGATTATTACTTCAAACGTTTTTCAGTGCTATAGACTTTCTATGTCTTTTACGTCATACAAGTGAGAGGTTCAGCTAGCTATAAAACTAGGTTCCCTCCACCATTTTCTACATAAGAAAATGCCGTACTAAGTCAGGAATATGACAGTTGTTATCCATTCGTTTGATGTGTTTGTTATTTTGATTTTGCCATTTGATGAAGAACTTTCCGTTTTGATTTTTCCTCGGAGTTTTTTTTTTTTGATTTTACTGTTTTATATATATAAATATATTTTTGTGTGTGTTTGTTTTTAATTTACCTTGCTGCATTGGGTATGTTGCATTCCGATGTAAATAAGTATCACTGCAGATATAATCACTGCATGCAAACATGGTATTTGGTTCCACACTTTCCCCGTCAACGACAAATTGAAATGTTCCATTCTCAAAGGCATCGGCCAGATTCGTCAATATATTATCAAGACTTCTGTCATCTGTAGTGTTATGATAATAACTATCATTTTGTCTAAGAGCTATAAGTATCATAACGTACTGGTGCTGTTCATATTTTGCAAGCCATAAAACGCCCTTCTCTTTCCACTTAAGTGCGTTGACGACTTTTGTGAGATACTTCTCGACAACAGAGTGTGTAATCCGTTTGATCTTTTTGCCAAGGTTAAGTTTTACCTTTCTCAGGACACTGACCATCTTTCCATTGGAACAGTCCTGAACTTTTGTTAAGAATTCGGTTATTTCGGAAACAATATTTGTAGTAAAGTACTCGCGTATTGCCCAAAATGCAAACCATATATCTTTAGACTCTAATTCACAAAGTGATTCAACTCCTAGTGGATTTTTAAGACATGTTTGTTGAACGGCACTCGCTTTTCTTTCAAGGGTGGAACATTTTAAATGTATCCATTGTTTTAAAACAGGGGCCATCTGTACCTGCAGGCATGCAGTTACAGATGCAAGCCATTTGTATCCGTTTGCGTCTTTTATTTTCTCTTGAGTATGGCATATGGCTAAAGCAAAGCCTATCATGTCGTTAAAGTTATTCCCACTACACGAATATTTCGCGCGCAAACATTTGTTGAACCATGAACAGTCACGTCCATTCGGACTGTAACAATTCCCTGGTAATTTGATATACTTGGTCATTGGATTATTTGTTAACGAGTCCCCTGGACTACACTCACAATCACTATATACAGGTCCTTCCGCTAGTTCATGTAGTTCCAGCATACACTGGTTCCAGCAATAAAGTGGTCGTGTTCCATCTGCCATCGTACGACAAACGTGACGATTATCGGAATTCAACTTTATGTATAAACTGGTTTGACATGTTGCATATTGGTACTTCTTGTAGTATGGTTTTAAAAGAACGCACGCGAAATTTCCGCTTGGTCCAAATGTTGGATCACAATTACTGCTAACATGACTTAAAAGGCTTCCTAGAATTATAATTTTCAGCGCACCTCTTATCGTCTCCATTTTAAAAATGTGTTTACTAGTTTATGCATCATCGATCACCATATTTTTAACTTTACATTGGGTATGTGAAGGGATATCTTTGTTTTAATAGAAAATACTATAGCAGTATGACTGTGCAATTAATTATTGTTAATAATAACGAAACGAATATTATTTACTGTCGCTGATGATGCGTGTTCTAATTGGTTTAAGATCTCTACATGAACAATTTATCAGATTTTAGACATGCCCTTTTACCAACTCCATATATTAAATCGTACTACATCCGTGTTTACTTGGTTAATTTAAAGAGGCGTTGTGCATCAGTAGAGTTAGTAACGATATTGAATTAAAATAACCACGAGAGAATTTATTGTATCCTGTTAAGTTCACTTATTCTAATATGTTTTTTTATTCCATTGAATCAGTAGTTTTTTACACGGTTGACTGACAGGTAAACACTTTTAAGAAAAGAAGTTCAATTAAAACGGGTAAAGAGACACAAAGATATAGAAATATTAATTAAGGTTACATACTTTGATGGACAGACAACCCTAAAGCCAGAAGAACGGCAGTAAAAAAACACTTCACAGAAAACCCTAGATGGGGTAAGACAAACCTCATTATACTTGGGCGGAACAGTTTATGAATTTCAAAACCCTCATCCATGTCTACCTATTTTGTAGAACTTGCATGTTATCATTCAGAGTCTAAGAATCCATGCAATATTAAGCACTGAGCGTTAAGCAAACAACAATTAATCAATCACTAATTAAGGAAGATTGGTAAAACAAAAGGTGTGCTTGAGGATGTGTACATTTTAATGTAGAAACTAGATAAGTGTAAATTTCGATAGCATATGTCACTATCGTAAATTATCAATATTATTATTGCTGTTTTGAAAACTTGTCTTCTTGGCTGCTTAACCTGCATTTTTATTTATTAAATATATAAATTCATCGATAAAGAATAATTTAATTCAAAAAATTCTATTAACTCGCAAAGATTCTAGTTACAAATAAAGATCCTTGATATGTTGAATGACATGTTCCTTTATTCACATTACTTCATACACGAGCTTCATCAGACGAATGAAAAGAAGCAACCATTATCTTTTAACTTTCAACTGTATAGATGATGTCCTATCACTGATCAATTCAGTTTGTGACTCTGTTGATCGTATATATTCCATTGAAAATGAAAAAAAACACTTATGCGGTATAGACTTTCCTCATTGTTGAAGTCCGTACGGTGACCCATAGTTGTTAATTTCTGTGTCGTTTGGTTTCTTGTGAAGATTTGCCAAATTGGCAATCATACCACATCTTCTTTTTTATGATAACAACAGTAACAGCTAATTCTACCACATATCTTGACTAACATCTAGAAATTGACGATGGGGGTTAGTTGAGAAAACAACTTTACGACAAAAGAGATGATATGATTTTCTTGATAGTTTTGGTTGACCTATAGAATATCTGATCTATCATTGATGATAACGGATATGTTCCAATCATCGTGATCACACTCCCGTTCTCTCTGTCTCGAATGTGACCTAGCGAATAAGACTTATCACAGGATTGGTACGTACATGAGCAACGCGATGGATGCCACATGTGAATCAGGATTAAAAATACTCCCGGAGCCCTGAGCGCACCTCTAATTTTAGTTGGGGTATGTGTTACTCAGCCTTGAGTTTTCTATGTTGTGTTTTTGTGTTATTGTTTGTTTGTTTTTTGGGCTTTTTTTACCTACTTTAACCAAGGCGTTGTGAGTTTTTTTTTCGACTTATGAGTTTTATTGTCTCTCTGGTATCTTTCGTCTCTCTTTTCCAATCTTTCCATTGGTGATTTATGATCACTTTGATTTAAAAGGTGATCAAGGATTGCTATGGGAGTTCTATTATACCAAATTCTTGGTTTTGAAAAACAAATGTGAGTTTCTTTAAAATTTATTAAGTTGCTTTATACATGATTTATACAATAGATAAAAATGGTCACTGCGTTATTAGTACTTAACGTGACACCATGAATCTACCAGACGTAAATTAATGTTGACAATTTTTCATTGACCATTCAATACATCTGAAACATTAACAAAATGAATATATAAAAAGAAGATGCGGTGTAATTGCCAATGAGACAACTCTCAACAAGAGACTAAATGACACAGAAACGTGAAGACCATTTAAGATAATTGAATAATGGTGGCAAGCTCTATTACAGCCCTTGGATGATGTAAACTTCCCAAAAAAACGTGTATGGTGTAATGGTGTATGGCATTTGGTGCAATGGTAGAAGGTGTATGGTGCTTTTGTGTATGGTGTAAGGAGAATGGCGTAATGGTGTATTAGGAATGGTGTGATTGTGTAACGTGCAATCGGAAATGGTGTGAATAAATGGTGTTCGTCATTTAAAACTATGCAAAATATTAATAAGAACTGATTTTTAATTTTATACATTGATTTACAATTTTGTGATCAAAAATATTCTAAAATAAATAAATAATTTTGTAGTCGAACGGTTTCTTCAAAATTGAATTGCATTATGGGTCATTTCTGATGGTGTAGATAGAATGGGGAATGATGTATGGTGTAATGTGTAAAGTGTATGGTGCAAAGGTGTAATGTGTATGGTGTAATGGCACAGGGTGTGTGGTGTAATGGTGTATGGTGAATGGTGTAATGGTGTATGATGTTAGTGGAAAGTTTACACCATCCAAGGACTGTACATGATATTTTTTAATCCAATCATTTGGTCATCTTGTTTTAATTTTTTTACGGTTCGTGAAATTTTGGTTTCAGTGCTATATTAGATACTTTTGGATTTCAAATTGATGTCTAAATTTCTAGCCAAGTGAAAAAACATTTAAAACAATTCCTAAATTGATAATATACAATAGATATATTCAAAAAATAGGTCTTAAGACTTGGTCTAGTATGGATAAGAATAGGTCGAATATGGTTCAGGTTAGGTGGAGCGTGGTTCGGACTTGGTCGGGAATGGTTAAGACTACATCGAGTATGGTTTAGACAGGTATAAAATGATTAAGTACTGGTTGAGTAAATGTCTTATTCAAGTTCAGACTGATAAGTATGGTTCGGACTACAGTCGAGAAATATCAAGTAATGTCCAGACCAGTTTAGACTGGTCGAGTGCAAACCAGTACAGTAGAGTACAAATGTAGCCAATTTCAGACTTTTACTGGTTTGTATGTAAATAAGTTCGACTTCGAAAAATCTTAGTTTTATCTCAATTGGCTCGTAGATTTCTTTTCATGCTTAGGACACCCTTTACTTTATTATGGACAATTATTGTCCTTTCGGATATTAAAAATTAGCGATGTGCTATCTAAACATAGTGTGCTTTCTAAACATAGAGGAACAAAACGATTACTTTTCGCAGATGGCAGTTTTTGGGGCAACTGCAAACACTTCAACATGTTCAATAGAACGCTGTTCCATGAACAATACAGGTTTATCCCATCTTAAAATGACAAAACAACATTCCTTGACCTAGTGATCATATATTTATTTAATGTTTTAGACAAAAATATCGATCCCATAAGATAAATTTTGATTATAGGGCATTTTCTAATTTTTTTATGATTCATTAAGACTTGCAATTTTCGGGAAATATTACGCAGCTATACCTCTCAATTTTTGTCCGAGTTAGAATTTCTGTATCTTGTTTTAAAAGTTTCATATCCTTTTTCGGAAAATTTTGTCGTACAAGTACCAGTAAATAGGTTTTCGTTTAATTATTGCAAAAAAAATGGAACGTTTATTCTTGACCTTTGACCTTGATTTAACGGAAATTGCACCGTACCGTTTTTTTACGACCAGGCAAAACAGAAAGTACAGATAATAAGCTTTCGAATGATAAATAAAACAGTCGTGTGCTAGGTGGGTGCATTAGAGATCTGAAAAAAAAGGTTTTTGAAAATTGTCACTCGCCTATAAGAAGGTAATTATTAAATTTATGCTATCGTGAAAATAGACCAAGAAACCTTAAAAGGTTATGTATGTAATTGTTTCCTGGACTTTTTGCGTACACTTTTGTAATCTAACGTACCTCTATTGTTACGTATCTCTAGAATCATTTAGCAACTGGCAAGGCGTTATTTTCTTTATCCAAGTCGGAAAAATTAATAACCCTCGTGATATATACAAAAAACTGAATTTCCAATGCACTTGCTGTGTCTAAAACATAATTGTCTTTTTTTCCTAGAGAAGCTGCTTTACAAAGTGCTTTTCGAGTGTGCTAAATTACGAGAGAACAAATCTCACCTCGTACCCGATATTAAAACCAAATATTTGAAAATGTTTCTGGGAGTAACAAACATACCACACTCCACGGCAATTTAAAACAGAGGAAATAAATAAAAACTGACCAAATCTAAATAAAGGAAACAGTAGTATACCGATGTTCGAAAGTCATAAATCGATTGAGAGAAAACAAATCCGGGTAACAAACTAAAACCGAGGTTAACACATCAAATATAAGAGAAAAACAACGAAACAACAGAAACACTTAAGTGCAACAAAAAACCAAACGACAATGCAACACACACAGAAACAGACTATAAGTTAACAACTGCCATTTCCTGACTTTGTACAGGACATTTTTAATAAATAAATGGTGGGTTAAACCTGGTTTTGTGCTAGCCAAACCGCACGCCATGATTTTTCCCCGGATTTTTTTAATCCCCCCCCCCCCCCAGAAAAAATAAAAATAAATGCCGACCGATCGACCTAATTTTTTTTTCAGGATGTTACTGGAACCACACATAAATTTTTATTTGAGTGTAGTCTTATTTTTTTCCTTATTTTAATATTTGGTAACTGTTATTGTAAAGTGACGTCACATTGCAACCTTGTCGAAAGTGACTGAGTATCAGGTAAATATATCTCAAATATTAGGTTGAAAATAACATGAAAAGTACAATTTATTTATCTAACGCGAAACGTTGTTACAAATTACAATTTCAATATATTCACGTTTTCATGAAATGGCATGATTAATAATAAATTCTTGTCTGTGGTAGCAGAATAT